CATTGTTCTATTAGACAACTTTCTTTACTAATATTTACTTTACTGATGCCTATTGGCCTACTGTGTACATTTTCATGTAGTTCTCTTATATACGCCTTAAGATCACGAAGGCCTCGCAACCCCCCATAAAGCTTCCCGACCCCAGGTTGGGAACCATTGCTGTAAGAAAGATGAATATTGCTGGCAGAGCTCTAGCATCTGTGTCCGTCGGCATTCAAAAGCCTTTTGTTTTAGTTTTTATTTTATTGATCAATTTTACAAATGTACAAATATTACAGTACATGTGTCAATACAATGAAACCCACCAATATTAACAACAATTAACAAATACACGTAACAAAACAGAGGGAATATAAAATAAAAAATTAAACTTACATAATTATACGAGATATAAATTATTGATTTATTTCCCAATTATCTGAGGTCCTAATGGATCACTGAATATTTTCAAAATACAATACATGTAGGCTACTTTTCGGTAGCCATGCCAAATTTAAAAAAAGTCACAATTTCAGTAACTTACCTGTTTTTTTTCACTGTACTTTGAAAGTATTTACCGGATGTAATATGTTATTATACGTAATTGACTGTTATTGATTGATTGATTGATGAATGTATTTGCAGTACCTCCCTGCAACCATCAGGGGGCAGTATATACCACATTACCACAGTATCAATACACTGCAGGGTCTCGTAGTGAATCACATTCTGCTTCATATATATTATTATTGTATTACATGTATTAAAAATGTACAATTACAAGCAAAAGCCCTTCCAAATCTCATTTAAGTAAATGCGCAGAAGTATTATCAACAGAATAAACTTATAATATAAAATTATAAGTGCTCATAATGCAGAATGGCTCATTTAAGAATGGTTTATATATCATATCATATCATTAGATTATTAACCAAATATCAATGCATACCAAATCAGCAGCATTGAAGTGAACCTGGAATGGAGTGGGAGTTTGAGTTTTTACCCGGGCCTTCCACAAAAAAAAAATAATACATTTCGCTTCGAAATATATAAGATTTTAAATAGCATGCAACGTTAAATAGGTCTAAATGTTTTTTTAAATGTCACTTTTTACTCATTTATCATTTCGGACCAAACATTGTCCTGTTGTGTGTGGGAGCCCTGCAGCTCCTTCTGATCACACAGATCACATTCAGTTTCGTTTCTGGTTTCTGAGAGAGAGAGAGAAGGGAGGGGGAGAGAGAGAGAAGAGGGAGAGGGAGAGAAGAGAGAGAGAGAAAGAGAGAGGAAGACTACAAACATGAAACCTGGATGAAGGCCACTCCACCAACTCCAGACGGAAAACTAACACACATACAGGCGACAGTCGGATGAAGTGTGAGTATTTTAAGACTCTTTTGCTTTTTGTTGATTGTTTTTCTCTCTCGTGTGTCTGAATCATTGACTGTAAATATCTGATCAGCAGAGAAAGAACGAGGAAGAGCAACAATGAGTCTCGTCCTCGTTGCAGACTTTTGCTTTATATTTACTTTGCATGTGGGTGTGTATAAAGTTCGCTTAACTTTCCCCTCCTTCAAGTTACATCGTGAATTTACCCCATAGAAGGTATATTAGTATAATCATCAGTTAATAAATACTTAGTACTGATGGTAAGTTCCCACATTGTTAGCTCCTTATTCCCTCTGCACACAGGACGGTGCTGGTACAACATCAGTATACAAACACACTGTAAATTAAAGAATATATTCTGTAATCTAAAACATTATCTAACATTCACATGATTCCTAATTTCCTTTTATGATTGCAGACATTTTGGGACTGAAACAAGCAGAATTGAATAATATAATATACAATGTAAACATAATATTTGTGCCATTCAAACTGAAGCAGGATAGTGGAATAAAACAGTAACTAAATATAACTACATGCACACTCACATACTAACATAAGACTATTGATCCACAGTTTGAAGTTTATAATTACGTCTGAGTATCATCGTTCCATCTAAGTCTTGGCAAGAAACCAAACTGTTGAACTTTTCCTTTAAACCGTCTGTCTTCCAGCATGCAGAGGGGTCTCCAGCTGGGCCTGGTGCTTCTGGCGGTCCAGCTGTTCCAGGAAGGTCTGGGCAACATCCCAGCAGTCACTCTGTCCGTCCTGGGATTCAATGTGTATCTTTACATGTTCCCTGCTGCTCCTCTGATGAAGGTAAATCCGTCAGTGTGACATGAGGAGGATCTTTATGTAATTCTTCATTTTATGACATGACCTTTTCACACTTTACTTTAAATAAATGAGGTAAAACGTGTTGATTTGTGAACTTTAGAGCTGCTGGTAGTCCGACAGACCAGCTGTCTGTAGCTTTACATTTGAGGGACAGAAATGAGAATCAATCAAAATCCCCAACAGAAAGCCTTTTTTATATCCTTTTTTTACTTTCTTACTTAAAAGTAGCAATATTACACTTTAAGAATACTCGATTACAAGAAAAAATCCTGTATTCAAGATTTCAAGTAAAACTGTAGGTTTATCTGTGTCATTTTATTGACACATTAACATTTAAGCAGCATTTTAATTTTGTAATTTGAACTATTCTATTGACTGCTGGTGAATTTAATCTTTAACAAGTCATTATATTTCATAAACTCATCATTTTCTATGTAAAATCTCAATCTGCAAATGAATTACAGCTGTCAGACTAGTGGTGTATATAAAGTACAATATTACCTTAAGTTAACTTGAGTTAATAGATATAGATATATTATAGAATAGACATCATATAAATGTACCTTCCACCACTGGTTATAGTAAAACATGATCATTATATGCTGATAAGGACTTTCTGTCCTCAGGCCTGTGTGAACCTCCAGTATGTGTACGTGTCTAAAGAGTGGCGTCGCCTCTTCCTGTCCCCCCTGCACCACGTGGATGATTGGCACCTGTACTTCAACATGGTGTCCTTCGTGTGGAAAGGCCTCAGGCTGGAGCGCCGGCTGGGTGGAGCCTGGTTCCTCTACCTGCTGTCCGTCTTCTCTCTGCTCACCGGGCTCGTCTACCTGCTGCTGCAGGCCGGGCTCACAGAACTCACCCAGCATCCTGATCTGTTCACAGAGGTCATTGATTTCTTACCTCACAGCAATGAGTGCGCTGTCGGCTTCTCAGGTACAAACAACAACAACAACAACAACAACAACAACAACAGTGTTACTGAGCTTTTATTTCTACAGAATTTACAAATGTTTCACAGATGAAATCTGAAATCATTTTCCAGTTGTCATCTATGTGTAATTGTAAAGCATGAAGTAAGCATTACAAATTTCAGCTGAAATAATTAGCTGATTAACTAAGCAACAATTCTGTTTATTAATTAATCATTTTTGTGACTTTTTAAAGCAAAAATACCTCAAATTCACTGATTTTAGCTTCTAAAATAAATTGTGATTATAGATTATCTAGAATATCTGACATTTTATAGACCCAATGAATAATCAGTGTTACTGATAGTTGAGGCCGTAAAACCAAAAAAGGGTTTGACGTGATAAAATATGAATTTATTGTTAGAGAATAAATTAGTT